GGTATAATCACTTCAAACATTAATTCCAGTGTGGAGTAACATTGTTAATGATCCATAGACACTACTCTCTCAGGATGTATTTCTAGTTATTAATAGAATAACTGGCATAGCAGTGTGGTTTCAGGAAATGAGCATAAATAGCCAAAAGATTGTGGTCTTGGCTCTACCACCACCTTCCCAAGAATCCCAGAACAAGGTTTCTCATATGTAGAATAAGGATTTGTCGATGATTACCATGTTTCTTTCCAGCTATGAGATACTATGAGATCCGTTCAACTATTCAGAACTTAAAATAATCATGTTCACAAAAGTGTTGCAAATTTAACTTTGTTCATAGGTAAATGCTATAAATACAAAGATCACTCCTTCACACAATGAGAACCTGGTGAATTCCAACAGCTGGATATAAATCTCCCATCTTTCCCTGTCTGGAAGTCTAAATTTCTTTTCTGTGTGATTGATTTAATTTTTTTAAAAAAATTTAACTCTATTTGAAATATATAAAAATTGCAGAAAATAATCCTATAGCTCTTCTCACTGCCATATTTACTTCACATCTCTGTAGTCATGTAGTCATTCTGTCTTAAAGAAAGGGAAACCAGTTTTCTTTTTAATTACGTCTTTGGGGAGTACACTTTCTTTCGTCAAAGAGAAATTATTCTGACACTTGTTAAAAGTAGTAAGGAAGACTTTATTTGGGACTAGTGCAATAGGGGAGAAAGATTGAACTCAACTTTGAATACAACAAGCATAAATGGAAATTTATAGCCAATGAGCAGAGTGATGCGGGTCAGTGTATGGAAAATTACGAAGAGGAACTTGACTAAATTTCAAGGATAATGTGATTCTTGCAAAACTAGAGTAACAGGATTCTTATTACAAGCAGGCCATGTACATAGATACTAAGGATGGGTAATGAGGAACTTGGTCAGATATCAAAGGCGATCAGTTATCAAGAGTGGGGGGATTCTTACTAAACTGACTTAGCAGGATTCTTTGCTACAGGCACACCAGGGACAGGGCCTAGTCAAGCCTTACAGAAGCCTGACTAAACATTTCAAGTAGTGCGTTTTTGTCACTTTCCTTGATTCTCGTTGATACCAGACACTCTAAAAGGATTTCTCTACCTCTCCATCCAGTGGATGAGTGAATGATATATTTCCATCTTGTCACTATTGAAGTTTCTCTAGTTTTTCATCTGTACTCTGCTCAGATAAAAATATGTTCTTCCAATAAAGTTATTTCTGTTCATTTTAATGTGTAGAATATTTTAATTTGAACTTTACCAGGATTTGGGGACATGTAGTGCCTTAAGAGATGTTTCCATAACTTTGCATTTCATGAAGTCAGGAATTAATTTTCCTCATGCATAGAATATGGACACAAAACCCAGGCAAAGAATGCAACTTCAAAGTGAAAATTCACCCATGCCCATCTTTTTGGCAATTATATATATATATTTATTTATATATGGGCAATTATATATATATATAATCAATCAATCAATCACTCAATTCTGTTCTTCCCACAGGTCTGCATGGTCCTTTCCCCTCCTCCCTTCTCCTGCTTTTTCTTTTAACTGCTAAAGTTAATTTCCTCTGTACAATATTTGAAGCCATTCATGATGTGAAAGCCTTACTTTTCTGAAAAGACCTAATTTTGGATTTATCAACATGAAATATGGCTAGACATTTTTAGCCTGAAGTCTTCACATGTTGCCTCTGCCTGAGTGACATATCATTCTTCACACAGTGGCCCAATAACAGTTGTTTGATTTCATTAACGTGCTAGTCTTGTGCTAGTGAATATTCCTGCCTTGCTACTGTTCTGCTACTTTTGAAGCATACACTGTACAGGAATTTAGTTGCTGTTCTATCACAGAAGGGAGTTATCAATATTTTCTTGCCTCACAACAATGTTTTCTGCATGTGTGAGGAAGATTGGCCCTGAGCTAACATCTGTTGGCAATCTCCCTCTTTTTTTCACTGAGCTAACATCTGTGCCAATCTTCCTCTAATTTATGTGGGATACTTCCACAGCATGGCTTGATGAGTGGTGCTAGGTCCCACCCAGGATCCGAACCTGCGAATCCTGGGCCACTGAAGTGGAGTGTGTGATCTTAACCACTACACCACCAGGAAGGCCCCAAAAATATATTTTTTAATGTGGCTTTCAGTATAGTGTGTACTGCCTGTAGCACGTTTGCATTCAACATCAGTAATTCTGACTTAAATTCCCACTGAGATCATCAGCAAGCCATTAGTGGCAATTGCTTGCTTTTATAGAAAAAGCAAATCTTACCCTAAGTTTATGGTCAAATTATAATAATATAATTCACGTACACAAAGATGCCAAACTGTGGACAGAGCAGACTGGGAGTCAGCTGTTAATTGTTCCATTAGCATGTAGGATTCTCCTATTAAGCTATATTTATATGCAAATAAATTATCCATTAACCTCTCCTTAGAATATTATAATGCTAAAGAGATTACATTTCATATATATTAAGCAATAACAAAATATACTTTAGACAGATGTAGATATAAGCTTAACTTTTGACTTTGAATATCAAGAAGTGTGGCTTCTCTGGCAGTTGCACCCCTAATTAATTATATCTTCTTAGATTTTTCACCTAATCTTCTCAGGCCTTGACAAAGTTATTTTTTCCTTTGATCCTTGAAAATATCTTCTGTTCAGTAGCTGAATTGAAAATTCATTAACTGTTTAATTTCTAGTCAATTCAATGTACAGTTTTTGATAACCAAGTAAGCCTCTTACACAATGCAAACCATCAGATATGTGACTGTGACCAAGACACATCTGAACCCCTAAGATTGATTGTTTGGTGGAGAAACAAATAGATCCTTTCAATGTCTTAATATCACACTGAGGGAGAACATAGAAGCCCATGGGTGCACAAAGTAGGGAAACTTGTCCAAAACTGAAGTGTGTGCAAAGGCTGTATTTAGAAAGTGTACAGCCTAGTGGTTTTTTCAGTGTTTTGTTTGTTTGTTTTTTGGTGAGGAAGATTGGCCCTGAGCTAATATCTGTTGCCAATCTTCCTCTTTTTGCTTGAGGAAGACTGTCATCAAGCTAACATCTGTGCCAATCTTCCTCTATTTTATGTGGGATGCCGCCAAAGCATGGCTTGATGAGTGGTGCTAGGTCCGCACCCAGGAACCAACCTGTGAACCCCAGACCACTGAGGCAAAGCCTGAAAACTTAACCACTACACCACAGGGCTTGTCCTGTGTGAAGCTTAGTTTTGAAGCCAGCCAGGTGAGAGGAAAGGCTGGCATATTGCAAACTGATGAAAAACCATAGGCAGATGTGTCTGTATAATATTTAGCATACCTATGTGCCAAGATGTGCCACCATTTATTTAGCCAATCCTCTTTTGTGGGACATTAAGTTGTTTTGAGTTTTTGCTATTAAAATAATAATGCATTAAAAGTTCTTTGTATAAACCTTTGATAATATTTCTAATTCTTTTCCCTGGAGAGATACCTAAGATTGGGTTGCAGAATCAAGATTATAAAGCTTTTAAGGCTCTTTATCTTCCTGAGGAATTGTTCCAATTATATCCCACTCAATAATGTATGATAAGTTCCACATCACCAAAACATTGCTAGCACTGAATATGATAATTTTGTTCCTGAGTTTAATGGGAATATAATGGACTCTGGTTAAAATTACTCTAGAGTAACATCCCAGCCCCACAATTTTGGACTAGAATGAGCTTGGCAGCTCAGCTTAGATCCTTCCTGCTTAAAACAGCATCACATCTTCCTCATAAGGTTATTGAAAAGATTAAATAGAATAAAATGTATAAACTTACTGGCATATAGGAAGCATTCAATAAATATTTCATACTTCTGTGTGAGATTGGCATTAAAACATACAGTACAACATATATAGGACAGGAATTTTTAAATGATTATTTGTACATTTGTAATACAGATTATAATTCTTATATATCTGATATATAATCTATTGATATAAAAAATTGGGTGTAAGTCATTTTTAATTAGGGGTAGTAAAATAAAACGTTTAAGTTAGACAACTAAAATTGATAGTTTATGAAGGATTATTAAGTTCTAAATAGCTAACATTAGTAACAGTAATAACCAGTATCAATACCAGAAACATTTTAGCTACCACTTAATTTAGGATTATGTTTTTATGTAAAAATTCTTAAAAAATGAATTCTCTCAAATAATTATTAAGATATTGAGACTCAAAGAATTTATGATTGACTGGCATTTGGGCTATGTCACAGTTCTAGAATGGAGCAAGACTAAAAACCATGTCTGTGTGTCTTCACAATTAGACGATTTCAATAAAATGGTATAATATATTGTCTATTTTCTCTTAACTATTATTATAGAGGTCCGGTGTAGGGGCCTGGAAATTGATCTAGCCTTATAGGATCTGATTAACTTTTAAATTAGCTATTGTTGATTAAATTAAGTCATCTCTGATTTAAGAAAAACTAGAACTGATATTTCAGGAAAAAAATTTGTGGTTTAGTTTTGATATTACCATTTCAATTTCATATTTGCTTCAAAATATTTTATAGAAGAAGTGATGTAACTAAGATGAGATTAAAAAATGACACAAGACCACTGATATGAAGTTTTATTGAAAACTCTTTATAATGTGGGTTGTTACAGAAACAGATTCCACATATGTAGATAGTCGTTAATTTACTGGATGGATATTTCTGTCAGATTATTAAAAGCACACTTAACTGAGTGTTAATTTTCATATTTTACTTATTGGCTGAGTTTGAATGTTTGTATATTAATATTAAAATTATTTGATGAAGTAGTCAAATGATGTATTTTCATGAGTTCTGATGTTACAAATTAAATATATGAACTTATAATTACTGTGGCTTCTTTTTGTAGTTAAGCAATAATTATTGGTGTTTATACTAATTAAATGATTATTTATCTTAAAGACAATGTCTATAATTGTTATATTATATTGCTTTACAGATGCTCCCAAGTTTATATCAAACCAAACAATTTATTATTCTTGGGAAGGAAATCCAATCAATATAAGCTGTGACGTGAACTCTAATCCACCAGCATCAGTCCATTGGAGAAGAGAGAAATTAGTCTTGCCAGCTAAAAACACCACTAATTTAAAGACGTACAGTGCAGGGAGAAAGGTGATATTAGAGGTAAGTCTTTGTGTACATATAAACAAATTGTATTATTTTAGCAGTTATCTGCTATTTTAGAATATGTTTAAATCTTAACATGTAAATATATTTACATTATGTAACATATATTTGTATATATAAATTCTATTGCATGTATTTTATGTTTATTAAAAGGGACATTTTATGCATTTGGATTAAGGCTCATTGATGATTAACATCTTACCATTTGCTTATGTGGAAATGTGGGTGTATAGCAAAAGCCATTATTTTTCATGAATTTTTTGGCGGGGAAAAATTGTATCTAGAAAAAAAGTAGGGCGAGGGAATGAGTAATTTTCAGTTATTGAGGGCCAAAAGTTCAACTTCAGGGTTGATACTACCCATCGAATCTGTGGTGACACCTTCCTTCTCTTTAACCTGGCATATATAAGTGCTAACTGCTGGCTACATGTTTACAAGTTCCTACATAAGCCAGATTTACTTGTTCAATGCTTCATTTCATTTTATTTTTTAAATTAAGATTGTAGATAATTGTTTTTATACTGCCAAGTGCCTGGCCTTTAAATTCTGTTTGAATACAAAATCTTTTATTTATTAATTGCAGATTATGTGTGTGTGAATATCAATGCCCAAAGTTTATATAAGCCTATAACAATCATTATCAGCCCTTCCAGTTTATAATGCCTTCAGAACATTTGGGAATCTTCTTCAAACAGCGTTATTTTACTGAAAAGATGCTACATTTTCTCCACTAATCAATTTACATACATTTTTTAAAATGCATGTTTAGAATAACATCTGATATCCATCTTGCATTAACTTAAAGATATCCTCATTGGTGCCACATTAGCTCTTCTACCTGGTAACTGGACTTTGGAGAACGTTTGGTTGATAGATTTAGCCATCACTTCCCCAAACGTTTGAATAGCTGACGGTTTGGTAATTAAGCAACTTTGTCCAAATCTATTTCAATTTAGATTGATTTCTTTGTAACTGTATTTAAAGAACTAAATATTAATGAATTGACACGGAGGTGCATTGCACAAAGACATTTGGGCAGATTTAACCTAAATTTTGGACATTTAACCATGGTTAAAAACTGAAGTTAGATTTAACTTCAGTCTTGGGTAGTGTATTAGCGCACGTGGGCTGCCATAACAAAATGCCACAGACTGGGTGGCTTAACCAACAGAAACCTTTTTGTTTCCCCCCACACATTGTTGGAGGCTAGAAGTCCAAGATCAAGGTGCCAAAAGGGTTGATTTCAGGCGAAAACTCTCTCCTTGGTTTGCAAATAGTGTCCTCCCACTGTGTACTCACATGGGCTTTCCTCTGTGCCCACGGAGAGAGAGAATTCTGGTGTCTCTTAGTCTTATAAGGACATCAAGACCCACTCTTATGACCTCATTTAACCTTAATTGCTTCCTTAAAGATCCAGTCTCCAAATACAGTCACAGTAAAGGTTAGGACTTCCACACAGGATTTTGTAGGGGGATACAATTCAGTTCGTAACAGGTAGATGTAGGTTTATGTTTAAATGCAGACTAATCTGTAATTTCCTCTTTACTTCATCTCTCCGCTGTCAGTATCTGGGATAGCTTATAATTCTCCATAGTCGATGTCAAGCAACATTTTATAAACCCAACATTTAAATATTTTATTCATATAAAGCTGTGATGCTATTTCCTCTTCTCCTTAAATGGCATCCCTCCACACTCTAAAGTGAAAACCAAGCAATTTTGGTTGGCTTTACACGTAGGTGATTTGTTGGTTAAAGCATTGACCTTGGGGATGTAATTTTTATGTGTATACTATTTTCAAAAATTAAATTTCAATCTTGAGTAAATAATATATATGTGTAACACAACCTAAAGACAAAATAAAACAATAATAACAACAAAAAAAGGAAAAACAATAATAAGAATTACTGGTTTTGAATTATAGCGTATATAGTTGCTTGGGATAATACATTAGTTTACTTTGTTTAATAATTATTCTAGTAGTCACATAATTGCTCGTTAAGAACATATAGAGAAAATCAAGTTTAAAATTAATAACAAGTTGGTCAATAATAGATTTCTTGAGTTGACTTTTAAAGTTTTTTCTTTTCCTTTATTAAATATATATTCAATCTTTTAAACTTATGAATTTTAAAATATAACAAAATAGTCTATAAATATTTTGAGTTACTGCCACTAAATGCATCTGTAAACGTCATCCAAACTTTTTTTTTCCTGAACACTCCCCTGAGATAATAAGACAACTTTTCAATATACGGGCAAAAGTTGATGCAGCAAGTTCCTAATAGGTTTGTTGGAATAATATTCTGCTTTGGATCATCGGTATTTTTGTCCCAATACATCAAACCTGCTTCGGGGCACAAGATTTGGCTGGTTTTTTCTGTATCTGTGTTTTCTTAATCATCTGTGCTACTAGGGGTATTTTCCGTATTTGTTAATCATACAACATGATAAAGGAGTGGCTTATTTCAGATAGAATTATAAAGCTTTTATCTTTTGATAAGTGAACTCCCAGGAACAGGAAAAAAAAACAAAACCCTGAATTGAGCCTTTTAAAAATCACTTCAATGACAATGGCTATATTTAAATTACTTTATTACTGTTGAAGAGCTGTGCAAATAGTCATGATTCTTTGTTACAGCCGTCCTATCTCCCTTTGTATTCCTTCAGTACACAGACCTCCCTAGAGGATATACAAGTAACTTTCTTCTATGGCTGTAGAATAAGGATTTTTTTTTTTTGGTTGCTAAAATTATTTTAGAGTTAAATTAGCCTGGTTTATTAAAAGCTGAATATAAGAAAAATGAATATTTTAATCACTTAGGAGTACTTATATAAGAGCTGTTAAGGCTTCTAATCCTTAAGCCCATGATCTCTTCCTAGATGGACAGCTGACTAGAGAATGAATGACAGATTTTTTGTACTCTTTTAGAATTACCATCTTCAATGGACCTCAGAATTGCACTTTTACTTAATAGCCTCCTATTACCACAAAATCATTTTCTCCATTTTGGGATAGAGTTGAAATTAACAGCAACTCTTGTTGTAAGCATATTCTCTCCTAATAATAGTTGCTGAGGTTGAAAATTATATCTATTACTATCATTGAATCTTCTTTTCTGAATTGATACTTCAGAATTGTGGTACATTAAAATTACAGGGTTGGTTCCAACGTTCAGCAATAGAATCCCAGAAGGTTAACTTAATTATGGATTTCACATGTGTAAGGATGGAGGTCAGCTATTTTCCACCTAAGCTGAAAGAGAATGATAGGAATTGAACAGAAATGGAGGCACGATCCTCTTATTAGGTATCAAGATAATGTGCCTGTCTACAGGGATTGCTACACAAGGAAACATTTTTCTTGCAAAATACCGTCCTGGAAAGATTTTTGTGTAGAATGAATCTTCATCTTTTGTTAATATTTTATGTTCAATAAAATCATAAGAGGAGGAGAAAACTGACATATTTTGAGCCTTTCTTGAACTTTAAATCTGCCTGATTTTAGGCTAAAACACAGAAAACAGAGATTTAACACTGCTTTTGGTACAAGTTTCCTGTTTTCAAGTTCACATCTGCAAAGATTACAGAATATATATATTTCAAACTCTGTACTACTTTCTGAGCTTTATGTATATAAATATCTAATGGTTTTTCTATTCAACAGGTGTAACAAAATGGTGGCATTTATCTACTTAATGAATTAGTAGATAAACTATATTTCACCTAGTCCTATGGTTAGTATAGGTCCATGGGTTACATCTTAAAAGGATTTATAGTATTTAATAATGCTCACTTGATATAGAACAAAAGAGTTATGGCAAAGAGTTGTGAATAATTGAACATGTGGAAAGAAGGTAGGCATACTAGAGTCTATTTTACAACTTCTGTGATATTGTTTTAAAATTGTAAAACTTTTATTGTTATAATTATTTTAGATTGCACCTACATCTGACAATGACTTTGGACGATATAATTGCACAGCCACTAACCGGATAGGAACAAGATTTCAAGAATATATTCTTGCTTTGGCTGGTAAGTGTAGCACAATAATTTCTGAGATCTCATAAAATGTTTCTGGAAGCAAATAGCTTTTACATTTTAAAAAGTCATGACACAGGTTATTAAAAAGAATGAACCAGTGCTTAAAAATTTGCAACATTTGTATCTGACACATAATGAGGCCTTAGAATGTATTGACTAATCATCATTGATTTCAAACCCTGCTTCTAATTCCCACAAAGTTGTAAGTGAGATATCAATGAAAGAAGTAGGAAGCATACGTCTTAAGGAATCAAATTATATTTCATGCAAAGTAAGAATGCTGTCAAAAAAAATTAAAAATAGAAGACATTTTGAAAGGAAACAAACAATTAATCTATTTGAAAATTCTACACTTGAAAGTACAAATAGTAAGCTTATTTTTAAGGCAAATAGAAAATTTAGGATTATAGACTGTTTCAATTTGCGTATATGAAAACATTCTAGGGGCGGCCCAGGACTGAGTGGTTAAGTTCGCACGCTCTGCTTTGGCAGCCCAGGGTTTCGCTGGTTCGGATCCTGGGCACAGACATGGCACTGCTCATCAGGCCACGTTGAAGCAGCATCCCACATGTTACAACTAGGAGGACCAAGCTAAAAAAGATATATATATATACAACTAGGTACTGGGGGGATTTGGGGAGGAAAAGAAAAAGGATATTGGCAACAGTTGTTAGCTTAGGTGCCAATCTTTAAAAACAAATATAAAAACAAAAACATTCAGTTCTTCCCCTAAAGCTAAAGATATAAAAATAATATGTAGAGTAAAATGTATTTTAACTAGGAATCCAGCTATGTTTTTAGTTTTTGTATATATATGCACACATACATATATTTTTATAGAATTTGCTGTTATATTTTACAAAACTGAATAGAAAAAATTTCGGGAAATATATATTTTTTCATATTTTGCATACCTCAGGTGATACAAAAACGGGATTTATTGTCTTCCAGGACTAGCTAGAGAGATATCAGAGAATTACCATAATGTTATTTTTTAATAGAATAAATGGCTTCTGTGAAAATATTTTAAAAGATTTTCTAAAAGTAGAGTTCTAAAATATAACTGTAATTTTATATAAAGTTGTGAGAGATATTTTTGTTGATATGTAAATATATCTCAAAAGTAGTGTCATTAGTCTTAAGACCAAAAGGGGAATTAAAAAGTTTACAAAGCTAATAGTACTCAAATTATTATGTAACTGGAAAACCTGTTATTCTCCAATTCAAGTTTTACTACACTGAGGGTGAAGGGAGGAAAGGGTCTGTGTGAAAGGGTTTTAAGGAAGGAAAATTTAAAAAACTAAGTTTAGGTTAGTTTTTTAAGATAGGGCATTAAGATAGGGCGTTTAAGATAGGGCAATGGAGTTAAGACAGGGTGAGAGGAAGGAGGAAGGGATGAAGGAAGGAGAGAAGTGAGTATTTATTGTCTACCATGAAGTCCTTAGAAAATTAATCTCAGTGAAAATCATGGGAAGTAGACTGTCCACATTTAGACTTATGAATGAACCATTATACAATCAAATTAAATTCTAGAAAAATGAAATGTACTGAGTCATATCAAAATTCATTGATAATACATTGAAGTGAAGTGTCAACTGTACTGATAAGAAGCATTCTCTACTCGTATTAAGTCCAAGCCTTAGGTAATTAGGCAAATTTTCTTTTAGTTAGTATCAATTTTTTATAAATAATAACTAGATATATGATCAATGTATATATATAATTATATTAGTACTGATGCACTATTAACATTACTTTTACAAATGATGCATTTTTATGTCTACTAGATAAAACTTGATAAATGACCAGAATTTTTTGAGTTTTTAACAATTCTAAATTCTAGAAAAATTATGAAAAATAAAGCATTATATTGATGAGATTTAAACAATCTTATTAAATTCACAGGAAATATTTAGTGTCTGTGCACCTTCATCTGTCACGTTTCTTACTGTAGCATTTTTCATTGAGAAGTATATTTGATACCTATCCTTCTAATGAACATATAAAATTACTGGATTTCCCCTTTGCCCAGCCATAATAAAAAATAGAAAATGTGCATTCAAGCTAAGATTTAGAATGTTATTGGAAATATCTCTTGAATACTGCAATTCTCTTAATTTTCCAAAATTTTGTAACAAATACATGCCTAATATTTGTTTCAGATAAAATAGATCCAACTGAAATTATACTAAGAATATAAAAATGAAATAGACATTGAGCCTTAGATGGGAAACATATATTTAAATATCAACATTTTTACATATCATTCCTTTGATAAGACCCCTTTATTTAATGCTTACAGAATTTAGTTTTTCCAGCAGAATTCAAACACTGAAAGTGCACCGTGATTTAAAATAAAATATGAGAAATATTATATAGAAATTTAAATATATCAAAATACATGTACATGTCACTGTTCAATGTTTCATTAGCCTATTTAACCTAGTAGAAAGTCAAGATCATTTAGCATATGCTGTTTTATGCTGTACCATTACTTTGATTTCAAAGAGCAATAAATTAAAACAGCCAAAATTTAGCATGAAATTATGTGCTATACGTTTAGTGAAAAAAATAATTTTTTAACTTCCTTTGTTTTAAAAAATCTTTTCTTCCTCCTTCTTTTCCTTCCTTGTTTTCTTCCCTTTTTTCACTTCCTGAATAATTTACTTGTACATCTGAGCAAGGTAGGCATCTGTGTGCAGGTGGGGTGGAGCACAGCACTCTGACATGGGGTGTCAGACCCTAAGGAGAGTGAATGGAGTGAAGGGGGGTTCAGTGGTCCAGTGTGGGGTATTGGAGCCCAAGCAGGGTGAAAAGGGTGTCCACATGCCCAGACAGGAACAGCAACCCAGAGGAGAGTGTTGGAATCTGATCAGTATAAGGAGGGGTTCAAATGACCCGCAGGGGGTCAGGTGAAGGCAGTGATGGATGATTCATTTCTACAAGAGCATAGATAACGTTAGTAAATATGTAAAGTACAATACAAGATAATTGTCTCACCTTTGGGGAAGTACAGATAGAGAAAGGACAAAAACTAGAATGACCCTGTGGTAATGGTTGGGTATAGGAGGTATCTGTGTGAACTCTAGTTTTAACGTATGAGATGGATACAGATAGAAGAAAAGAGGTAAAGGATTGTGTGTGTGTGTGTGTGTGTGTGTGTGTGTGTGTGTGTTCGGCCATTTCTACAAGGAGCTTCCTTTAACCAGGAATGTTAGAAAACAATTTCTGAGCTAGTTATATCCACTGAGAGGACTTGGGAGCTGTGAAGAGCATAGAGCATATCTGGCAGCCAGATCTTGGTTTCTAAAGACCATTCTTCACTAAAAGTAACCAGTGCTCCTTGTAAAAATGGCTGCTTCTAGGAGTGCGACAGAGAACCTGCAAGATAAGCCTGGGTCAGTGCATTGTGCTAGAAAAAGAGGAAATTAAAAAAAAAGATAGGGACGTGTCAAAAACATCCATAAACCAACTTTAACAAATATCATAATGCAAATTAATTCACCAAAGGAGCATCAGTGTTTGCTAAGGCAGGTATGTGAAAGTTAGATGAAAAAAAAATTAGAAATAGCCTTAAAGTACCTATCCCCAAATTATTAATTAATTACGATAAGAAAAATATTAACTTTAAAGTTGATAAACCAAGCAGATTTCATTTTAATTGTGATCAAAGTTAACATCACTGGTAATGAGAAGATTAAACTTGGGTTCTATCAGACAGAGGCAACGAGAAGAACGCAAAATAATTATTGTGATATTCCTACCACAAATGCATAGTCAGAATCTAGTATGAGGAAATACAAGACAAATCCAGATGGAGGGACCATCTACAAAATAACTAGCCTTCAAAGTGTCAACGCCATGCAAACCGAGGAATGATTAAGGAAACTTTCTAGCCTAAAGGACAGTAAAGAAAAATAAACAAATAACAAATGCTATGTATGCATCTTTTGTTATAAATGACATTATTGGGCTGATAGGTAAATTTTGATTGTGGTTTTTGGATTACATAGCAATTCAGTTGTTTTATAGATCTTATGTAGGAGAATGTTTTATTGTAGTAAATAAATGCTAAACTTGGCATCATGTCAACTTACTCTAAATGGTTCAGATTAAAAAGAAAAGTTCTATGTGTTATTCTTTCAAATTTTCTATAAATAATGAAATTATTTTAAAAGAAAGAAGAATAAAAGGCAGGAAATTAAGGCCAACAAACAAATATGCATAAGATAGAGAAGCTTTGGAAAGCAACATAACTTGTGAACATGGGTAACATTCTTGATAAAAATCATCCATATCTTTTTTGTGTGTGCATACATAGTTTGATATGTAATCTTGTAAGTAGTTTTAAAATATAAAAAGGACATTTTTGCATATTAAGTAATCATTTATTCACAGACAACTGGGATTTTCAAATATGTAGGTATAATTTTTACACTAAATATAGCAAGTTATTAAGACATCTCTTTTAAATCTCTTAATAAATACGATGATAGCATTGTTTTTAAACAGTGGACTTACAGTCTTTATTCAGTAACAGTGTAACTATAACAGGATATAGAAATAGGCATATAGATGCAACTTATGAGCTGGACATTACACCTCCATGCGTCCCACTTTTTTTGCCATTATCTCTGCTGGGAAAGAACAGCTTGATAAAGTTCTAACCAGAAAACAGATAGGAGTGATTAGCTAAGTTGAATCATGAGCAGTCATCTCTATAATTCTCACAGTACCTCAACGAAGTACATGAGATATTATTTATACATATCTTACAGAGGAAAGAAACATTTACAAATTAGGAAATACTATATAAAAACACACTTTGCTATGATGATGATGATTTAAACAACGAGTAAGATAAAATATTGGCTAGATCAAAGGGCTCCTATGAGTAAAACTCATCCTGAGGGCAGCATCTCTTTTTGTGGTACCATTTCCTACATGTAATTTTAATGATTCAAGTCCTTTTTGTCAACTCTATTTTTGTT